ATTATGTGCCACAATTAGTATTTTCTATGTAATAAATTTAGTGTGGTTCAAATATTACCAGAACTGATAGTCAGTGCAGAACTCGGGGGTCATCCTTGTGCCTGGTATAGAATATTTGTGTATACTGCACATTGTTGCAATATAGCCTCCAGGTCTGATGGTTCTTCTCAAGTATCACATTTCAATCGCCCTGAACTGGTGATGTCACATTGATGACGTTTAAGATTAACTTTATTGATCCCAGTGAGATATTACAGCTGCTTGTCATTGATATCTAGTTTCAATTCTTTTCATCAATGCCAAAATGAGGACTGAAAGCCTAGAAGATGCAGAACGTCATGCAGAATGCTAAACACGTCTGACAATTACATTACAGTCAGGAAATTATAGACAGGTTTCATGCTCATAACAAATGGTATGAGGTGTTATAAATAGCTGAATATAATGTAATTCTATATTAGATCTGTAGTAAAATTAATTCAGTGTTAATGTAGTTTGATGTAATTCAAGTGCCTCTGCTAAATCCATTCATCCATCCACTAAATACTGTACTTATTTTACTAAATCCTAGAAGGAAAAACTTGAAAAGTCAATTCCTTTTCTCTGTATTCACTGCATTCACTCAGTTTGGGCTTCGGCCTGTGCACTGAAGTTCACAACATGCTTTGTTTATGCAGATGTTCGAGTGACACTCAGACATCTCACAGCTGCTCGATGTCCCACGCCCTTACCTGAGCTCTGCCACATGCCACAGGGTATTTATCTAAGCTCTGCATACTCAGTCCAGGAGGACGGCTCATATGTCACCGGAGTGTCACTGTCGTCAGTCTGAGCAGAGTGGTTTTGGAGGAGGGGTGAAAGGGAGCCTTAGAGTGACCTCAGCAGGGTCCCCGAATGCCTCAGTACCTGATCCATGTCACCTGCCTTGCTGTTTACCATACAACAAGGCAGTTTTGCCAGATAATCTAAGACAACTTTAAAGTTCAGGGGAAATGGGGAAAAAAATCATTTGCATGAAAATTTAAAGGAGCTTGAAGAAAGAATAATTATTGCTGGTAATTACCCAGCTTTGTGGTCTGAGGTCACTTTTTGGAATAAAATGCTTGCATTAGAACCAAAGGGACTTCCGTTGTAACTAAAAGGCCAAACCTGAGGATTGCCTTTGCAGAACTGGGACTAGGCTCAGGGTTACGGCAGCCACAGGTGGTGCGTGATCGGTAAAGTTAGAGCACATTTCCAGGCTGAGTAGATTCCTCACTTCCTGCTCTTTGTAGAAATTAAGACTGAAGGATCTGATTTCAGACTCATAAAACTTTAAGGAACAGAAGATACTTGCAGGGTCATTTAATCTAATCAGCTGTGCTGATATAATTTACCTCGGTCTTTAGAGCAGTCCTAAGAAACGTAAGGTTCCTAATCTGGCTCTGAGTACTGACTGCATGAGTTACAGAACCCTCTGCAAATCAACGAGGCGAACTCACCTGACAACTGGAGCCAAAACCATTTCACCAAAGGAATAGTCTAGTATACCAACATTTTCATGTTGTCACAAAAGGCTACAATAAACAGTTCATACTGAACAGCTAAACTGTTTACAAACAGGAGACTTTAGCAGCCTATAAAGTAAACACACAGGAAACATTCTTACAAGAGTTGAGCATTTGTTTGCTAAACTGATCTGTTCTCAAAATGGGATATTCAGACATTTCCCTCTCATCCCATTGCAACTTGAACTGATTCAAAGAGGAACATGAATTATGGATGCGTCTTGTTTTCAAGTTCCTTGGCAAATACTCAATCCCTCAATTCCACATGGACTCATTTCTAAATACTTAAAAGCAGTAGCATTTAAAAAAAAAAAAAAAAAAAAGCTTTCGTGGGGAGATATGTACTGCCCAGGAGAGTCAATAGTCCTTGCTAATGTCATCCAAGGGGCACCACCTGTAAAATGTCATTATTTAAACATGCAGCAGATGGCAAATGCATGGCTTGCCACTGAAGGCAGCTCAGCCCGCTGACGTAGCAAGAACACAAGCATGTCGAGGAATGAGGCAGCAGCGCAGGATTTGTCCTGGATGCGCTTCCATATACGGTAAAGTCACGACACCCGAGAACGAATGTGCAACTACATCCTGCATCCAGCGAAATACCAGCCTCCCTTTTCAGGAAGTGAGCAAACAAAGAACTTTTCAAGCTCTGAAGCCAGAAAATTCTTTTTTTTTTTTTTTTTTGAGGAGAAAACATATAATTCCACTAACAGGCAAGTTGAAAAGACAGACTGGGGTACAAGCCCCCCCCCAAAAAAAACCATATGCAGATTTCAACTTTTAATGGTCACTGGGAACATTCTGATCTTCTCAAATGTTCTCAGACTCATCCTGAGCCCAGCATACTCTTGCTTTGTGAAAAGTTTTCACTCTCAAATCAACACTACATACTTCACTCTGTACATTTAAATAATCCAGCAGTTGGGCTGTTTGGATAGCGCCTTAGCATACCTCCCTAAAATAGGCATCTACTGTATGGTACATACAAAACTTCAGATGACTTTATTAGCTGCAGACTCTGTTTACATTACCAACCTCCCTAAAAGGAGAACAAACACAGTTTAAAAATGGTGTTGATGGGAGGGGCGCGTGCTTAAAAGCCTTGAATCGTTGGAGCATGTATTCCAGAGTTACTTCTGACTTACCTAGCCTTGTTTGAATGTTTCCATTCCAAATGGACGTCAGCCACCTGTGGATGTGTACGGTGACGCACAGGGGTCGATGTTATTCTGCTCTTCGGCGTGGAGTGGGGAGCTCGTCCCTTAGGGGTCTTTGGCAAAGATCTTACGACAATGGGCCAAACATCACCAGAGGTCAGCCTGATGTTTGCAAAGCTGCTATAGCATGACCCCCCCCCACCGAAACTTTCATCTGCTACAAATGCAACACATTTAGGAAGCATTTTTGTTTTGTCGTCATTGATTTTTGTCTTGTTTGGATTTAGTGGGTGCAATTAAAATGTCAAATTACCCCCAACCTCCCCCCCCCCAAGGAATACACTCAGTATTACAGATGGATGGGGGGGGGTGTATTTCTCTCTGGGGGGAAAAACATTTACTGCAGTTAATTATTAATCTTCCTGTTGGCCTGTAATTTATATCATAATTTCATAATATTGCCATACAAATACTGACTGCCGTTTACTATTAACCGCTCTGTAAGCCACTAATTATGATAATTGTGCCCTTTTTCATCTTTCATCACAATGGTTGCATTCAGATCATTTTTAACATGCTGATAATGAAGCTTGTGGAATTTTGGCCCAGTGGTTCTAGCGTATCAAAATAGAGAATGGGAGCCTCGTCTGGAAAATGGCAGCGGGGTGTGAAGCTGCGGATGAAATCCTCCTTTCTGGTGCCGACTCATGGCCAGTGCCGGTCCGCCTGTGACAAGGCGAAGCATCAACGCAGCACGTGCTGCAGGGTCTGGGCCTTGTGCGGAATCGGCAGCTGGATGATCATTAGTGATTACCCTCTGTGTCAAAGAGTCCAAGCAGGTCCTACAGCAGAGGTGCAGCTGGCCTGCGACCGGGCCAGTGATCCTTTACTCATGTTAATGACACGCAGCATCAGTAAAAACCTCAATCTGAAATGACCAGGCGAGGAGGGAAGAGTGTAGGGACAGTGGCAATGCTGTGGTCCACCGACATGTGAAATCATGCAGGGAAATGTCCGGTTATGAGAACGAGCACATACCCCTGGCCAGTGCGGATACCGCGTCTGACTAATCTCAATATAGCGCTGCATGTGCTTATTTAAAACGGCTTATTTATACAGCAAGATTGTCATTGTCGGTGATCCTAAAATTCCTGGATTCTGGAAATGTTTTCTCTCCTTGTTCAATGATGAGACATCTCCTCAGCTTCCTCTAGCACTGTCAGGGAAGTGCCTGTCCACTAAAAAGTCAGATGCCCAAATATGGCTGGCCTTCATGCAGGTTGGCCATCGCACTCCACAGGTACCGGGGCAGCTCCAGAACAATCAGGAGTATAATTTACACCATGTCCCAGCTTCAGATTAATGCAGAACGTCATGTGTATGTGGACACATTTATATCAGATTTTTCATCAGTGGGAAAACTCACAGGAGAAAACGCATTTCTCCATATTTGGTGAGCTTGTCGTGACTAGGAGTCAAGCGCATAGCCATTTAAAACACAATCACGCTGAAAGGCTCAACACTGACATCTTGTGGTGGGAATGTCAACGCACTGACATTCCGACAAGCGTTGAGACGGTGTTCGGCAAACTATCAGTAAACATTTTTGATATATTATCTTAGGAAATATAAAAGTTCGGCTTCAAATGCGTTTAAATTTTAGTCGTGGTTTTTAGAACAAATCAAAGTTATGTTTTAGAAACGACAGAGCAGACGTCTTTTCTTTCTACCGAAACACACAAGTCAGGCGAAACGGAAAAAAACGTTCTTTGAAACCCTTTATTGTCAATGAATACAAAAAAATATTTTTTGAAGCCAGATAAATAGTATACATACGCCATTATCCATTACTGCTGTAGGTTCATAGCCATTTAATTTAGGGTAAAAGCGAACAATATGAGAACAGCTGTTTCTTTCCACTCCAGTAAAATGCTTCATACTAGATAGTGTTCACCATAGATATATATTTGAATATCTTAATTACAAAGATTTAAAAAAACTCAAGAACTTCCATTCAAAGTGGCTTACTGAGAAATGGGACAATGGATACCACCTCTGACGCATACGTGAAGCATACAGTAACCCAGAGATGGATGCATCTCCTTATCCAACAGTCCAAATGCATCTTGATGCATGCTTATGGGATGCACATACACACGCATGTACATATATTTATATTATATATACGCACGTATACGCTCACACACGAACTGTAGCATTTGAAACACTGAAACATCTTGTAGGGAATGACGTTAGTTTATCTTCCGGGAAATTTACTATTTGGAGTAGGATGGTACGTGAGAGGAGTATGACATCACTGGGAAACCTATTAGGATCTAATTAGGACATGAGAAATCGGATTCAGCTCGTCTCTCAAAGGAATACATTAGAGGCTACGTGGAGCAGACGCTGTATGGACTACAGACTAAGGCACTAAAACTACACAGGTCAGACAAGCAGTGAGCATGGAGGTGGGGGGCAGGGGCGGAATAACCCAGTGTCATGATGGCAAGCAGTGTCGTGCGACTTAATACATAAAGAAAATGGACTAAAGTGAACATAAATATGAGTGGAGAAAAACGATGGCTGAAAACAGAATGTAACATTAATTATGTGCAGTGTTTAAAAAAGTACGAATATCAGTGCATTCTAGTGTCAGCGTTGGTGAATGAAAGTGGCGCCGTCCGTCCGCTTTGCCCTGAATCCACACCTGCTCAACGAGACAGGGGAACGACCTGCTCTCACTCTGTCCGCTTGCTAAAGAGGGGTTTCTTACACTACAGACACTCACGGATGAGCATATTCCTAACAATCAATTTAAACGGGCCAAAAAGGCACTACCACAGGAAGATTTTTTTTTAACCTAAAGCAAAGCCAAGCCAGTGTTTTTCATGGGCCTTCTTAGTGTCTCAACTATTAAATTCACCCCAAAACACACTTATTATAGATCCGGTTGTTCTGCTTGTGGAACTTGCCCACAAAAAAAAAAGCTTTTAGTGTAACTGACGCAGCAAAACACTGAAAACCTGACATCGAAACAGGAAGAATGTATAGGCTATATTAAACACAGAGGAGCTTCAGATTTAAGAAGAACCAAGCAGACATCAGCTAACGGACCGCAGGTCCCGCAGCTTCCAGGAAGTCGGATCTATATCTAGATTGACTTCGGTTTCACTTCTGCTGGTCCCGCGTACGGTCTTCAGGAAGTCTAGTGGTCATTATGGAAACGCAGTCTGGTTACAATGCGGTAGTCATTGCACTTTTACTGTCAACCACAGGCGACAAGCTTACGTGTTTAACAGCAAATATTCTGTACATTTTTGCCTCCTATATATTTGGCTTTGATACCTATCTAATAGTGAGGGGCGAAAGTGTGATATGTTCCGTCCTACGTGTACTGAGAAGGCATGCAGGGCATCCAGAGGGAGGGGGGGGGGAGCGGATTCAGGACGTAGATTCTACAACCAGACTCCATTCCGCTCCGGAATGTTTCAGCCCCTTCAAACTGTATTGCATTAGTTAGTGTGTTTAGGAGATAGCTTCAAAAGGATGCGTGGCTCGATGCATACTAACGGACTGCACGCGGACTGCGATCTGTGATGGTAACGTACTGCCCGAATGGGACACACACGTGGTGCAAGCACTGCCATTGCGATCTGCATGATGTACTGCAAACGGCGGCAAGAGTTACACGAAAAACTGCCCCTTCAAAAAAAAAAAAAAAAAAAAAAAAAAAAAAAAATCTATTTCCACAATAAAACACATCCAAAAGACTGAAAGTTACAGGTAGATTATCTTAAAGATGATGACCTTCTTTAGGTAGAGCACAGACATTGCATTTGCCATCTACATTCTTAAAGAAAACAAAGGATAGTTAAAGATGGCTTTCACCTGATGCCTCAAAAATTAAATTCTCATGTCACAGCAGATAATACAGCCAGGAACTATCTGAGCCCCAGAAACGAAAGAGGGCATCTCTACAGGTTATCCACACTGGGGTCAGATTGAGTGAGTAGGTCCCACTTTTACATTCACACTGCCCACCCTGTAAATAACTGTGTGTGGCTTACAACTGCACCAGCAAAAATTCCTTTCTCCTGAAATTATCCAAATCGAGCTGTGTGTGTGTGCGCGTGCAAGTGTGTGTGTCATTCAGGTACTCATTCGACCTTATTCCCATCTCTGCTTTCTGATGGGGTAGAAGCATGTCTAGGTGCTTTTAAAGGGCGCAGGGACTTCTGTGCAGCAGGAGTTATGGGTTCAGACCAAATGAATATCTGAAGAGAAGCAGCTTCAGCAGAAAGGGACACCGTTGTGACAGAGATGGGGAGTCTGTGGCACTCTCCTGGGTTTATACACATGCACGCATACACACGCAGCTCTATTGGTCCGTGATGGGAAGGGGGCGGGGCTGGGAAGGGGGTGGGGCTGGTCAGTTCTCATCCTCCCGCAGCTCACTGGGAAGGAACTTGTACTGCTGCTGTCGGATCTGGGCCAGCTTCTTCCGGGCCTCCTCCAGCTCACGCTCCTTCCTCAGCATCTCCTCCTGGGCAGCGATGATCTGCGTGCGGGGAGGAGTTGCGCTCCCTGTTAGCCAGTGTCACGCTCTGCGTGCGAGGAGGTCCCAGATCTACCCGAGCACAGGGCTGACCCGTCCGACACACATGGCACAGTACATGGGGATAATTACACACACACACATACACACACAGGAACAGGAAGTGCGCAAACACCAAAGCCGTCCGTCTCCACGGAACGGCAAACCAACGGGGCTGACGATCAGCCATCCTGACACAGCTGCAAGCAGAGGTGTCTGATACTGGTGTTTAGGGCTGGGGGGGGGGGTCCTGTAATGAATGGGTAGGAAGAGGATTCATACAACAAAGGCCTATTTCCTGAGCTGACTGTCAATGGCAAATGGTGGATGAAGGCAGGCCTGCGGAAGGCCCATAGGGAACAACGCAGTGCAGTACAGGAAGTAACCCAGGGCAACCGGGACGAGGCTACCAGGTGCTCAGACCAAACCCAAAGGCAGAGGGATGACAGATGCAGGGAGGCGGGAACAAGGCGTCACCTACGTTTCCACCCCATCGGAAATTTGGATGCAGATTAAAGGAGTAATGAGGCCTTTGATCAAAAAGGAATTTGAGGAATTAGTTTCAAAGGACTGGGAATGACTGATAACAGAGACATTCCTTGAGTCCCGTCTGAGAAAACACCCACTGGATCATGAAGGAATTTCATCTGCGAAGGGCTGGACAGCCATGTGACGCGATTGGCCAGACCATCGGCTAAGCACGGCCTCCGAAGCCAAGCCTCACCTGAGCGATTCCTCCCACAAATTTGGTCTTCACCACCACACTGTCGTCGTCTGCCTTGTCGAAGGCTGCCTTCTGTGCCGCCCGCACCAGGTTATCGGACGCCCGCTTCACGGCATTCCCGGCAGCCTTCGGGAGACAGAGTGGGCAGTCACCACTGCAACCAATCAACGGTGTCGCCCACTGGCAAATGGGAGGTGCCTGGGTGTGGAGATACCTGCAGCCTCCGCATGGCCTCCGAGTCCTGGTCAGCCTTGACCTTGCAGGCCACCAGAAGCTGGGCGGTGGAGGCAGCGACCTGCTTGGCTGAGGAGATGAGCTTCTCCTCGCTGGCGTGGCCCTGCACCGAGGCATTGGCTGCCTCACACAGGTTACTGGTGGCAGCAGCTACCATGCGGGCCTTCAGGAGGAAGCAGGAGATGGGAGGAGCCATTAAACCCAAGAAGGGGCAACATTTACTGTTATAACCCACCCACCCATGTCCAAGGGCTAAACGATGAAACTCACAGCAGAAATGAGGCCTTGAGACCACTGACCATCGTCCACGGCGTTAGCAGGGATGGAGCCCACCTGAAAAACAGCACAGTCACCAAGGAGACCGCGTTCCACACCTCAGCATTGCCCAACTTTCTTCGGTGCCCAGACTCACCTTGCCCTGCGCCACCAGCTCTCTCTGTGCGGCAGACGCCGATTTCACCAGGGCGCTGGTCGCTGCGGCGATGGATTTTGCTGCCTCCAAGATCTGCTCCTCGAAGTCCAGGGATTCGTCTGCTTGCTGAGAGTGAAATGAGTCCATCAGGCCCAGCAAAGTTAACAAGATCCAGTCAGAAGGGAAAGGCATGCAACTTAGGAGCAAATTAAACTGCGGAAGCTGAACGATACCTATTACTGCTCAGATGGTCTCAAATGCCAGCCACCATACATAAAAATAGACTGAACAATCGCGATCCGCATTATATGTCACAAAAATACAGACTGAACAAACGCGATCCGCATTATATGTCACAAAAATACAGACTGAACAAACGCGATCCGCATTATATGTCACAAAAATACAGACTGAACAAACGCGATCCGCATTATATGTCACAAAAATACAGACTGAATAAACGCGATCCGCATTATGTGTCACAAAAATGCAGATTGAACAAAACGACAACTGCATTAGAAACACAGAGACTGAGCAAACGACAACAGTCATTAGCACAAAAATACAGACTGGACAAATTCCAACTGCATTATATATCACAAAAATACAGACTGAACAAACGCCAACTGCATTATGAGTCACAAAAATAGACTGGCCAAATGCCAACAGTCATATCAGAAAAACACAGACTGATCAAAGCTCTGGAATGCAAACAGAGTGTGTAGTGTGGTGGCCACCACTGGTGGTGACATGAGGACCCCCAGTCATGTGAGGAGGACTCAGAGGAACCAGCCGTGAGGCGCACAGCCTGATCTTCCTCCTCTCTGCTTACAGCCACTGGACTTTGCCTCGCTACTGGCTCAAGCGTGCTGGATGAATGCTTGCGTCCCCGTCCCCCCACGTACCATGCCATGCTGACTACATTTCAAAGCCTAGGGGTCTTATAGACTCAACTGGTAACACTAAATTAATTTATCAAACTATTTTTAAAACTTCAAAACTCATTTACATTTATAAATGCATGCAAGAATGTTTAAAAGCCTTTGTCAGTAGGGAATGAAAAATGAGACTCATAAATATTAAATTTTGCCAAAAATCATATTTAAAAAAATCATAATCTAGGGACATACATATAAAACCCTACAGATTTCCCCATATGATTAACCACCACTATTAGAAGGATTTTAATTATAAGCAAACAATCCTTCTGATATTCCGCAAGAACTAGGCCTACATCAATTCAGTAGACATGCCCCCCCACACACAAACACACACACACACACACACACACACAGAAGACTCCACAACGGTGACATTGTGTGGTGGAGACTGGAAACTGCAGCTTTATACAAAGGGAGTTCAGGTTTATGTCCGTTTGGCTGCCCGTCCTCAGGTCGAGTGCAACGCGATACACAGAAATCCTTGATTTTGATGTGTAAAACACGCTAAAGAACATCTGACAACTAAAGCAATGACTCCCCAAGCCAAAAAAAGCAAAATTAAGAGTCAACACAGAAAAGGCAAGAACATCTAAGCATTCCTGAATCACCTCAGGACAACAGAGGAGCACACAGAAAGCACGTGTCTGGAGACAGGGCGGGACACTGTAGGAATATGTTTGATATATAGTTGGACTGAATAACAACCTAATATATCAAACATATCAGACAGAGCCCTGCAGAGCAGGATTCCAGCTTTAAAACCGGGGGACAGAACAACAGCAGGTCAGGCAGTGACCACTTAGACAGGGGCACACAGGACGCGTGGGGGGGGGGGGGGGGGGGGGGGGGGAGGGTGGAGCCTCTCCACGCTGCCCAGCAGACAATCGGACAAGACCAGAAGACCACCCGACCTGACCTGGTTCAGACGAGTGCAATTGCAACACCTGTGTGTTTGATTGACATAACAATAGTAATCAGGGGAAGCAGAAACCTGCACCACGAAAATGACGACCCGACTACGCCTGGGAATGATGGGAAGTACAGAGTGCTCATCTCCCAGGTCCAGGCACACAGACCGTGCTTATCTGCGGTCCCGAGGACGCTCGTTGGAAACGAAGCCAACATCAGGCAAACAGAGACTCCTCCGAACACACGTCTGCTCTAATATTCAACACCATCACCAAGCACCCCCACCCGCCAAAGATACAGAGGGTGCACAATATTTAAAGCAGGCTGCAGAAAGTTCACCTCAGCCCTGAAGGCATTCAGAGTATTTCAAGAAGAATGTAGGATGAGAAGGCCGGCAGAGCGGGACATGTGTGGCTTGTGATTAATCCAGCTGGCTCTGTTCAAAGACAGCAGGGGCCACGGGGCCACAACATGGGCTCCGGCCGACCCGGCACGGGGGGGGGGAGCACAACCGCGAGCAGGCAAAGTGCTGAGTATGGAAAACGGCACGACACTGGGTGACTGGCAGAGAGGTCAGCCGCACACTCGGCCCATACAGGTTCATACAGTATTTTTTGATTGCGGTCAGAGATTTTATTTTATTTTTTTAATCAAAATGAGTTTCCCCTTTCGGGGACCAAAACAAATGGTCCCCACAATGCCAAAAAATAAACAAAAAAAAAACCAGATTGATCACATTGTGAGGAAATCTGGTCCTCAAGATGTAATTATAGAAACGTGCACACGCACCATACACAGCCTTACATACGCTGTGCGTGCACACTGCTCACACACACGCCACAGGGGGGGGCCCATACCTTGGGCTTCGCTCGGGGCTTCAGCTGCTCCAGCTTCTTAGCTGCCGCCTCGATGGAAGCCGCCGCCCCCAGCAGCTCCGTCTCCGCAATGATGGTGGGGTCCTCGGGGTCCACCCACTCTGTGCCTGAAAGGCCACCGCAGCCCCGTCAGGTACGGGGGTGTCGTGACCTCGCCCCATGTGGCCCCCAGATGGCCCCCCCCACCATATGGCCCGAATGCAACTGTAGCCAATGCTGCTCTGTGGTCAATGGCTGGACCCCGACGCTGAGTGAAAGCGTGCAGTGGCTACGCACGGCATGCTACTGCGTTTAGCTGTGTAGGAGCCACACACTGCGAAAACGGCATGGGTTTTATACAGGCATTTTACAGTGTCGCCATGACGATGTCGAGTGCTGAAGGCCTGGGGAGATGAGCTGATGAAAGCATGAAAAACTCTTGCCCGCCTCGTCTATGGGAGGCGACAAAGAGTGTGTGGTCAACTTACCCCCGTCTGAGGCAAGAGAGAAAGACAAAGGCTGTTACCTTGGTGACGGGGAGTCCCCGTCTCTGGAGCACCGGGGGTCACATGATTAGCGTACTGCCCAAGGCGGGTTTGAAAGTTCAGACATGCTGTCCAGGGCCATTATTTATGCGGTGTGTAATGCTGACATGTAAAACCAGAGCGAGGACATCGCCGCGTTTACACCCCCACGCCTGACACCCAGTTACAGCCCATCATTAACACCAAGTTTACAGCCCCCATCATTAACACCAAGTTTACAGCCCTATCATTAACACAGAGTTTACATTCCTTTGGTTAACCCTGATTTTACACCCGTGACCGTCTCCGTTTATACCTCGCCTGCCCCCCCCAGTCCCCAAGGCTGCGTGGCCCCCTCACCTTTCATCACCTCCGCCGTCTGGATGAGCTCTGTGACTGCGCCGGCCACACGCTTGGAGAACGCGGGCAGCTGCTGCTTCTGCTCCGGGATGGGCTTCTGGAGAACCTGCTCACACACACACGCACGATCTGAGCCCCCACCCTGCCCCACGGCCTGGATCGCAGAGCCCGCTTGCCCCCTGTCTTACCAGCAGCACTTGCTCCAGCAGCTCAATGTATCCCAGAGTGCACTCTGTGCCGAACGCCAAGGCCTTGGCCCGTACATCGTCGGCCACCTCCGGGTGGAAAGCCGCTTGCTGGTGGGGGGGGGATTTATACTTTACAGCGAGCAGGGGAATCAGCCTACCCATCAACAGCCCCATCAGACAAAGAGACAAACATTCAGCTCACAGAGGTGTGTACAGAGTGGCCAAGTCCAGCCGGGATGCATGGCAACCCTGCGGCCCCCGCCTTCCTAATGACAGGGCGTGAAGAGCTGCGCTAACAAACAGCTACGCCAGGCCAAACTAAACGCTGACCGAGCACTATTGAAATCTCTGCACTGGGCCATTCAGGCACCAGGAGGCTTGTGACAAATGGCTGGAGGAAAAGGCAAAGCAGGCGAGTTCCTCTACTGGGTTCGTAATGCGGATTGTTCTCGAAGTATGGGGGCCGGAAAGCCGTACATCCCCAAGCTGGCTGAAGGACCGGACACGTCGAGAGCAGGACAAACGGCAAGGTAACAGCGCCCTGGTTTGGCCGGAGCCAGCGGCTGGGTGGGCACCTTGCAGGTGCTGAGCATGTCGGAGATGGCTTTGCGGCTCATGTTCGCCGTGGAGATCACGTCCTCCTGGCGCGCCGAGTTGCCGGCGGCTACTGCTTTGGCTGTTGCCGTGGTGATACCCTTGGTCATGCGGATGAACTCCTCCGGAGTGGTCGACCTCTCGGGGATGTCCTTGGATTGGAAGACCTGCAAACATCAGTGATGTCAGAGACCCAAACGTTTAGCTACCTAACTGAACACGTGTTCCGGGAACAAACAGAAGACCTCAAATTCAGGACCGAACCTCCAGGCCAGAGTCACAAATATCACCAGCTCCAGCCGTTTATGTTCTCGGACCAATGTTAACAAATGTTACAGTCAAAGCCACTGATTTAGATTAATGGCTAAAATAAACAGTCGCTCTAGCAGCTGCAGCTAAGCTGGGATTTAATGTGGGCAGCTGTGAGATCAGACAGTAGGCAGCAGGGGGCGCCAATGCACCGTCAGCTCCTGCTTGATGCACTCGATGGTGGCTTCCAGGGCCCGCGTCCCCCGGGTGGCCTCGTCCTCTACCGCCTTCACGGTCTTCAGTAGAGACGTCACATTGGTCACCATCACCTATGAAAGGAACAGCAGACAGGCTGGGCATCACTGACCGTAAACTGATCCGAGAGACGCGGTGGAGATCACAGCGCGTGTCTCCATGCGAGGCAGAAGTTAGACCGCCATCCTTAAAGACGTGAGGCCTTTAACTCCCCAATGACTGTGCAGGATTTGTCTTGTGACCCATGACATTCAGTCACATGATCATCACATGACGCTCAAATCGAAGCTCAGGGCAGTTCCACCTCCAGCTGCCATGTTTCTGATGGGAAACTGGGTGCAAGTTACAGCACACGCGAGTCATGGCCCCCGTTTCCCCTGCGACTGAGCTCTCCTCAGCGGTGTTCAGCTGGATGCCGTCACTGTCAGCACTAGCGAGAAGCAGTAAACAGAACCTGGCCCCCTCCCCCCAAAACCGGCAATCTGCCAGAAACGACATTAATACCACCGGGTCAGGGGTTTGACGGAACAAGCGATGCCTGGTCTTCAACTTAAGCTAAATAAAGGAAGCTATGCCAAGGAAATTTGTTTTATTTTAGTACCCGGGGGGGGGACCCCTTGCCTGTCACCCATGTGGGAGACCTGAGGTATTAAGCTGTCTTTTGCTGTCCTTATAAAGCCATTATTTCGGTAATGCTTGCCTGAAGGAGAATAAAAATCATAGCGCAAGGAGGCTGCAGTTGTAGCAGAAGAAGGAGGATGACGAGCTTCTCATACACACAGCATCGCTGTTCAGCTAGAAGCATAGGCAGCTTCATTGGACGCCAGAGTATGGGCGAGTCAGAGGCACGGGCACCTCTGTGGACACCTGAGTGCGGGCGAGTCAGAGGCACGGGCACCTCTGTGGACACCAGTCAGAGGTAGAGTGTAACTGAACCAGAGGCACAGGCAGTGCCATGGACGTCTGTATGTGGCCAAGGCAGAGGTACGGGTCAGAGGTACTCTGTGAAAACCAAGTGTGGGCGAGTGAGAGGCACGGGTAGCTCTGTGGATGCCCAAATATGGGCGAGTCAGAGGCACGGATAGCTCTGTGGATGCCCAAATATGGGCGAGTCAGAGGTACGGGTAGCTCTGTGGATGCCTGAAAAGGGCCTGTCTGCCCGGGGCCCCACCTTGGCGGCGCTCTTCAGCTGGTACATAGACGGGTCATCAGCAGACTTCCCTGCAGCGCATTTTGTAGCCCCTATCAGATCAGCCAGGGCCTTGGCCACGTCCTTCACCGCATTGATGAGCACCACCTAGAGGTTGGAGGACCATTACAATCAGGCAAACACTGCGTACAGCGCAACCACTCAAATTATTTCACACTCCCGAATGGCTACCTGTGTTTCCGGGTCATCAGAGCCGATGCTGGCGGCGCCCAGCTTGACCACGTCTGTGAGCTGGGTGATGGTGTTGGCGGAGGACTGGGCAGCCTGTGCCAGCCTCTCCTGGCTGGATGCCGCCCCAGACACCAGCATCTTGGTGTCCTCCACCAGAGCCTTGGCCGTTTTCAAGATGTTCTCCCTGTGCAGAGACCAGATCACAGGTGACATGGTGATTAGCGTACCCGCACCCTAACGAGGGCAACGGCCTGATCCCGTCTGAGCAGCAATAACCTGAAAACAATCTCAAACACGTGTCTGGTCGCTGTTTATGTTTATACACAAACTGTACATCGGAGTCAGGAGAATATGCAGATGGTGGTCAGTAAAAGCAAAGGGCGAGATGAACTTCCTTCAGATGACCCTGAATGCCTGACCTACTGTGATGAGCTGTGTTAAATACACAGAATCCCTGGACGCGGTGCCAAAGGGATTTTTCAACTGAATTGAGTTGTCTCTGCTAGAGCTTTCTCTGCTTTTCCATCCAAGAATTCCTCTGCACATGTGGAACAATTCGTCCCTCCGGGCCAGGCATCTGGCCCCCCCAGTGCAGACCGTAGTCCGTCGGCGTTCCTCGCCTCACCTGTGGTCGGCGAAGGACTCGTCGTTTTCCGCATTTAGCGTGCCGGCTGAGGCGAACATGATAGTGGTGTCCAGGTCAGCGATGATGCCGGAGACGGCGCTGCCGGCCGTGATGCACGCCTGGGTGCCTTTGTTTCCCGCCTGCAGAGCTGACAGTACCAAGGAGACCTGTGGGGTAGGCAGGGGGGGCGGAGCCAGTGATCCGGATCACATGGTTACCGGAAAAAAACAGCGTCACTCGCACGCACTGGCAGCGTCACCCACAGAAGACATCTGCACGGGCAGCATCTCCGTGCCGGTAATTACGGCGTCATGCAGTCGTGAATGAGCAGGGGCTGCTGAGATAAGGAGCGAGAGATGCGGCACAGCGGAGAGCGAGGGGCCTGCTGTCAGTCCTTCACAAGCCACTTAATGAAAAACACCTTTAAATGAGTCCCGGGCTTCGGAGCTCTTTACATATACACCCGCAAATTACACAAGGCCGCAACAAACCTCAAACTGAGTCGAGTGAATCGGCGGAACCGAGTGGGGAAAATAGAAACCAGTCAGGATAGTGGCAGCGATCACGACTGGAAAACCCATCCGAGAGGTGCAGTCACGCGGTGGACAGCGCCCCCGAGTGGCTGGCCCGCATCACAGCATTTTCGGGTAAACAACCGAAGGAAGACTACACAGGTAAACGGGACACTGTCTATGAATGTCGCTGATGGACTCGCATCCCATACCTCAGAGGCAAGACCATGCCGCAGTGTTCACCACAAAAAAAATAAAATTATGCAGTAAAATGTGGTCAGCAAATCAACAAAGTATACTGCTGGGAGCGATCGCCGTGTCTGTGGCCCCCACCTTCTCGGTGACGGCGCGGGCACTCTCGATGAGCTCCTTCTTGCTGAAGCTGTCCGTGGGGCTCAGCTGTAGGGCCCCAGCCTTCTGCACCAGCAGGATGCAGCCGTGGCCCAGCTCCTGCACCCGCGTCCGGATCTGGAAGCCGATCTGCGGGCACAGCAGTCGGTCACATGACTTTATATGCCTTTAACAGAGCTCCACTATATTACGTAAAAATGAACATATGACAAACACAAAGCTTAAATACAGAAGGCTAGCTGTCTTTCACATATTGGTATTCTTTAATCAGACTGGCTAATAGCACAGGCATGTCATTCGGGCCCGGGTTCGCTGATAGAGGATGCAGCTCACGGGGGCCGCAGGCAGGGGGCGATCTTGAGCTGCAAGGTCTCTCTCTCTTACCTCCTCCGGTTCTGCGGTGGCGGCTGCCAGGCGCCCCTGCAGGGCCAACTGGCTGTAGTCGGCTGTCACTTGCGAGGCCAGCCCCCCCAGCTCCTCCGGGCTGGTCACCGACTTGGTCATCTGCGGCGGGGGCGTGGGGGGGCACAGATTGCCATGGTTACTGAGCTCAAGAATGGGTGTGGCAAACTTTCACGACGGCTCAGTGTTTCACCCACCATCTCCTGGGCCGTGACGGCGACGGCCTTGGAGAACTTCACCATGGTGGTCTGGTAATCCACGAAGGAGCCCTCGGGCTCTGGGGGGGTGCCTTCATCCAGCTGGGGGAGTAAGGAGTTAGCGTTAGGCGCGAACATTAGCACAAGGCAACTGTGGGCAAGAGGGGGCGATGAGTGTCCTATCCAGCAAAGGGGGCCCTCAAGGACCTTACAGAGGGGGGGCTTCTATCTTAGCGAGGTCAGTGAAGTTACTATGTGGACAGTGCCCCCCCCCCCGACTCACCCTGCCCATGGCCTCGGCGATAGACTCCACCATGCCTCCCACCATGCCCACTTCACTAGCGGCTTCGTTCAGCGTCACCATGATGTCGTCAACAGCCTCCTTCATCAGCTGGGCTGCCTCGGCGATGGCGTCGTGGGTGTGCGCCGCCTGGGGGGAGCGGGGACACAGCGAGGGGAGGGGGGATCATCATCATCATCCTCATCCTCATCATCATCAAAAAGGCTACGCGGTCGATTGGGGCAGACCTTGGGGTTGCCTCCGCCCTCCTTAGCAGCGTATAGCATCTGCAGGGCCGACTCAGCCAGAGTCTTCGTCTGGTCCATGATGGTCATCTGCTGCTGGTGATCAAGGATCTTGGAGGCAACCCCCACAGACGCCACGATGAGCGGCTCGAAGTAGCTGGCCAGCCGGGTGACCTGCGTAAGGCGAGACACGCGGCCGGGTCAGGCTCGGACCGCAGCGTCATGCTGTAACCGGCGTGTTGTGTGCGCGCACCTTGTGGCCCAGCTGGGCGGCCTCCCCCCTCGCCGCTGTGGAGATGGGGTCGATGAGGTGTCCGATCTCCTGCACGGCGGACGTCAGCTGCTCCTGCAGGGCCTGTGGAGGCGGTACAGACCGTGAAAGTGCCACATGGAAGCCGCCAGGGATTGCAGGAGACACTATCCCAGAGGGAATTAGGCCGGAGAAAACCGGGACACCAGAAACGAGGCCGTCAGACTGAATTCAGGCCTCAAAAAGGCACAAACCGGCAGGTTCCTGAAGCGTGGGGGCCTTAACGATGAAGAAATGGGTTAGTACTATGTTAAAGATGTGTGCTGCTGAGTCATGGGGGTGGGGGTCGTGCAGGCCAGGGGTGCATACAGGGGGGCTGCCACAGGGGCACAGGCTGAGCTGAAAGCTAATTGGCCCACAGTGTGAACCTTCCCATCACCTACCGATTCAAAAAATACTATTGGCTAATGAAACAGTAGGCCCCTCTGCTGAAATTATGGCCTCTCTTCTGTCCCCCAGCTTAAAAAAAGATCCTAAAATCTCCCCTGGCACAGGCAGAGTGATGAGCTGGCAGCGTAGTGATTACCTCCAGGGAGATGTCATCACGGCTGGGGAGGCTCTGGTTGACGGCAGCCAGGGACGCCTGCTCAATGTCCCGGATGCACTTGTTGATGTTGTCGATGGAGGAGTCACACTCCCTCTGCCCCGGAGCTTTATCCCTGGGGGGTGGGGAGGGGGACAGAGCAACATGGTGTGTCCGCTGTCAAGGGGGGGCCCGGGAAACCGGGGGCACCCCGCTCCAGCAGCCAAGTCACCCCTCGAAGATTTGAGCGCCGTTACAGCCCAAGTACCAACACAAGGATCCTCCCTGTTACTTACAGGGGAATTCCACTAAAACGATAAAAGGGCCTTCAGATAATCCCCAGATGTCGTCCTGGGCATCCAGAAACTAATTATATTACATGCTGCATGAACAGAGCACTTTGCATTCTGCACAGGGAAAAAAAAAACTCATTCTCCAATAACATGGGCAAAGGTTTCTGTTCCACTTTGCAAAGGGTCTAATCGAGGCCCAATCGTTTTTTTCAGTCGGTGACAGAGATCGACATCAGCCCTGACAGCAGGCTTTATACCAATAGGTTCCCCCCCGAATATCATTCCAATATTTTTATTTACATTACAAGACCATAGAACAAAACTGGCAGCTTCCAGCTCAGATTCCCTGGCCAGGAAGAATACGATCATTTTACTGCTTAGAAAAACTCGAGGCTGGCCACTTGGTGCAAATCCGTAATAAAGTTACTGTAATGTAACACAATGACCCATTTTTAGAAGAATTTCATGTTGAGGCTGGGGGCACCACAAAATAAAATGTGGAACAGTCTTGCATGTTGTTCTGGCTCTGAGTAACGACTATTTTAGCGGAAAGGAGAGCATTTTCAACATGAGGCTCATTTATTTATTTATTTTTTAAAAAAGACATTTGTATATTATGGAGTGAAGAAAGATCTGAAGATGATGATGTCAGAAGCCATGAACGAGGGAGCATAGAGAAGCTGCCAAAGTCAGTGCCGGGGGACGAACCTGATGGCTGTGATGAGGCTCTTGATGGAGTCCGAGACGGTGCGCGAGTGGCTGGCCAAGATGGACCAGGTGGGCGGGTCCTTTGGGTTGATGACCAATGAGCGAGCAGTCTTGAGGAGCTCAGTGGAGCTGTCCAGCATGGCACGAGCGGATTGGATGATGGGCTCCTGAGCCGCCGAGCCCTGCACGTCGGGAAGACATGGTCATCGGCCAACTGCTAACCACACCTCCAGGGGACGCCACTGAAACACGGGACCGGACTCCAGCTTGGGTTTCTGGGTATTACTGAAAAATTCCTGACTGGGATCAAAAGGGTCTCTGTACGTGATTCATATTTTTCTTAAACAATTCATGCTTTGCAGCCTTCGGGCTCCAAGCTTAAGTCCTTAAATACTAAAGCCACCTGATTAATATCTACCAGGGGATGTCAGCAGATTAATATAATCACTCAAAACAAGACATAGAACTCATGCAGAATAAACTACTGAGGTCACCACCCTCTAATGCTATGACCATGGATGGTCTGCTTCTCCTTTTGAGTTTGGTTAAGAAGCTCAGGGTTACACCAACTGCACCGAAGCAGAGAGATGAGTGTAAATTTGATCCCATTCGCTTTAAGGAAGTCATCTTGAAAGAAAAACACCTTCAGATACCGGAGGTGATCGGCAGCTGTGACTGGCCAAGGATTCAGGTCATGATGGAGCTCAGTACCTCGCTGCTGATCTGCGCGGGGATGCTGGCGAATTCCGGGTTTGAGGCAAACGTGGTGAGATTCTCCACGGCCTGGATGAGGGGCGCCGTGGCCACGCGGCACTTGTCCCGGTTCTCCTCGGAGAAGTCACCGTCCAGGGCCTGCAGGGGGCGACAGCGAGTGGTACCACCTTCAGCCAATAATACTGGGGGTAAATCTAAATCCCATTCCACACCAGCAGCAGATGTTTCATGGGGAGTGGAGGAGACGGTGCACCTTGATGGTCTTGACGAGGTTGGCCGTGCTGTTGGCGACCTCCTTGGCTGACTGGACGAAGTGCCTCTTGGCCACGGGGTTGGCCGTCTTAGACGAGGCCAGGCGGCAGGCGTTGCAGAGCGCTGACGTGTGTTTGGCGACGATGGTGGCTGCAGACAGCACCTGGTGGTGAATGAGACCTTCAGAGAATGTTTACTGGGGGGGGATGGGGGGGGGTGGTCGCGGGGGACGACAAGGGGGTCGGGCAGTTCAATCTCAGGTCCTCCCAATGACCCAGGATGCGCTGACCTGGGACGGGCTGCTGGCTGGGTCCACTAGGTTCTGACAGGCCATCTGAATGGCCTGATTGGCTCGAGCGAACTGGATGGGGTCCACCAAGCCCTGGTGGCCTGACTGGCTGTTTGGGTCAGACACACCGACCAAGTAAGAGGCCTACAGAGGAGAGGAGGAGGAGGAGGAGGAGGAGAAATACACCACTCAGCAAGATCTGAACGAACATGATAACTGAAACACATAAGCCGCATAAAATTAACCACATTTTGAACAGTGTGGGGTGGGATGGCATCTGATATCCCTCCAACAGGGGGCGCCACATGGCAGGAGCCCCGCTGGCCTCACCTGTCCTCCAGCCTCAGTCAGGCCGCATAAGGCTTTGGAGGCCACGCCCACACACTCCCCAAAAGCTGGCACGTCTCCCGTCTTGCAGTTTTGAGAAATGCCCGCCATAGACTCCCCGAGGACCTGGGAGGGAGCGAAGGAGATGATCACACGTGTGCCCCACCCAGCTGGAAAGCCTGCGTCCTCACAGGTGCCCCCTACCTTTGAGTTCTCCATGACGCTCTCGATGCAGTCGAAGTAGGAGAGGTCGCTGACCGGCTCGCTGGGGTTGTCCAGCATGCCCCTCACCGCCTGCGCGCACCACCAGATGGGGCAGAGAGTAAATAAAAGTCACGGGTTCGAGGCTGAAGGTTCCCTTAGCAAGGGGCCCTTGTCACCTCTCCATATTTAAACCAGCGAATCTACACAAGGCTGATTGTGTCAGGATGCACTATCCAGCTAAAATATGGAACTACACAGATAGATACAGTCTCACACACACAGACCCAGAGATACACACACACATTCATGGTAGGTGGCCGCCACTCTCTTCTTGGCAAAGGCCCAAGAAGAGGAAGAATGTTGCCTTTTAAATGAAACCGAGTAGCTCTCTCCAATACAGGGGCCCTCTGGGCTAAGCAGCATTATTTAAAGAAGCTAACAGCCCCCACAGAGCACTGATGTGGAGCCACAAAGATGGGGGTGTGGGAGGAAGCAGGGCTGACATAACCAGCATTTGTAGCACAAACAGGGACCATGCCTCACCTGCAGAGAGCTCCAAGCGATCACGTCTCACACACAAAACTAATAGTTACCAGTTCACCTGAAATGAAAACTATAGATCCCGAAAAAAGCTCAGATTAAGACAAATTAAGATATTTCTCTAGAATAACAGAACTGTCACGTAGGTGCCTGGTTTCCTGGACGACAGGACAACAGGAGAGCGAATAGCTGGGTGGCCATCTCCATAAGCGGCACGGACGCAGCCGTACCTCGAGCTCACGCAGGGCGTTGTCGCACTCCTTCTGCCCCGGGGCCTGCTGGGTACACAGCGTGATCAGCTGATTGATGCTCTCAGTCACGGCTCTGAAATGGGTGGAAAAGCGGCGGCAGTCAGACATGGGGCCCGGGATCCAACGTGCGGCAATGTCAGGGTTAGGGTTCCGTGACAGTCACGGCGTGTGTCCAATCTGCGACTGACCCGGGTGGAAATGAGCTGTCGGGGGGGGGCAGCTACAAGCAGGATGCTCACAAGTGAGCGACACATCACGTTTAATACATGACAGACTGGATTAAGTCCACAAGAAGACCGAGGAACCACAGACTGACAAACAGACAGAAGTTCCCAGTCAGAGACACTCATTTTCCTTCGGCACTTCAAGAGCACCGCCTGCAAACGGCATCACCGTTGCGATCTCGCTCCCCCATCCCACCTTGCGGCGGCGGCCAGGAGATTCTTGGCATTGGCGGCGCCGGGATCCACCGAGAGGGACTTGGCGGCCAGGAGCAGCTTGCTGGAGGCCATGGAAATGCTCTTCAGGTTCCCGATGACTTGGAACTGGTCTTCCTTGCACTAAAAAAGGCAGAATGCAACAGCAGGGCAGAAACAAAGAAGTTATTCTCACACTTGTTGGGGAGCTTGTTGCTTTGCGACGAACACAAACAAGACCCAAGGCCACCCCCCCGATGAATAATGCTCTGGATGAGGGCGGCCATTAGCCTAAATAAACGTTTAATGAATCAAACGCTGATGGAGGCATTTCATAATTTAAGAGCCCAACTATCCATCCATCCATCCATCAACCTGGAACCCAGGCAACATAGGACACATAGCAGGGGTTCACCCTGGACAGGACGTCAGTCTGTTGTAGGGGACACAAACACATTCACCCTATGGGCAATTTTCAGTTGCCAGTTTATCAAACTGCATGTCTTCAAACTGTGGTATAAAACCAGCCAGATGTAGGGAGGCTTCGAACCCCAGCCATGGAGGTGTGAGGGAGCAGCGCCACCCACAGGACGCACCATTTATCGCGTCACTTAAATGTTTCAATCCGTCCTAAAAGTAGACTGACAATATAAACACTACCTCCGGTTCAGACCAGTCTGGCACGCCATGGCAGTAAGAGTGGCGGAGGAGGATGCAGTGGTACCTGAGTGTGTCCTGCCATCTCGATGCCGGCGTCCAGGAACTCGTCGAAATCCTCGCTGAATTTGCCGGACGCCACGGCCAGCTGGCTGCTGGTGCCGCGGGACGAGTGGACGACCTCCCCGGCCGAGTGGTTGAGGTCGGCCGCAGTTTGGTTCAGGTCGCTCTGGGCTTCCTGGAAGGACTTGGTGGTGGGGGGAAGCTGGAGGTGGCACAGGCGGCACGCAGTCAGAACCGGCAGTGGCCGCGGTGCTGTGAGCGTGTTGCTACACTGTCAGAAGAATACGTACCGATTTGTACTTCTGAGGGTAGAATTACTTCTCACTGGGCCTGCCAATTATACCCTAGCTGTAGGTTAATGTACCTTTTAGTATAATTTAAGGTACAGAAATGGACTCTGAGGAACATTATTGCACCACTGGGGGTACATTAATGTTGTTTGTACCTTAAGCAATAAAGTTGTACCAGGGTTGTATCGTTTTTTTCTGACAGTGTAGAGAGACAATGTGGGGACTGTTCAGATTTGCGACACGAGGACAGGAGCTCTCACACTGTCCACCAGGAGCCTCTTGCTGGCCTCGCCGATGCTCTTCAGCGCCATGTCCACGTCCTTCTGGCCCGGCAGACAGTTGACGCAGTTATTCAGGGAGTGGGACACGGCCTTGGCCACCTGAGAACAGGGACACCGGCACACGCGCTGAGGATGGGAACCCCGCATTTATGGTTCCACACTCACACCACCGATGGCCAGGCTAAATGCGATTCACTGTTCACCACAAAAACAAATATCAAGTATCAAAGTGAGAAAGGTATCTGGAAGGTGATGTTACTCGTGAGCAGCGTGACATATAGGGATGTGCAGATTGTTTAATTTTTAAAGTGAACGTGTGCACGAGCCTTGCAAATGCTGTGCGATGATGCAGTGGATGCCGTATATTGAAAATTGGTGCATTTTCCTTCACTTGCTACTGCACTGTAACTTGCAGCACTGGGTCATACGGGTTGCAACGCTAAACCTGGACAAACCGCTGATTTTTGAAAAGCCGCCCGGACTCCCAGACAGGGACACCAAGAGGACACGACCTGGGAAACCCGGACACACGGTAACACAGCACCAGGCTGAATTAAAGCTCATTGGTTATATCTGATTTAGCCTCGTTTTAGCGCCGTTATGCTAACAAAGCGTGTAACTTGAGCGGTTATGGAAGTTTATTAGCAAAATATTTTGGCTATTCTTCCATATTCTGAAAGCAAAGATGTTTTGCATGCACACGGAAATCTAAACGAGCATCTACAGATGGACTGCAGTGACAGAGGGTGACAGGGGCCCCACATGGACCCAGCGAAAGGGAGATGAATGAAGCGGCCAGAATGCACGACCCTTACGGAACCTGCCGGAAACGCGGCAGTGGCCATTATCCTCAGCAGCACCGCAGTCTGCAGTTTAATTGCATGCGTCACTAACTAGCTGCTGGCTTTCTTTTTAAATAAATGACCAAAATGGAATGGATTACTTTTATAATTTAACACATCTGTTTGCAGAAGATGGAGTTGTTTTGTTCCCTTAACATTCAACGGCGGCCTTGTGGATGAGGGTTTGAATGAAAGCAGCACACGGGTCTGTCTGTGAGAAAATGTCCTCACTGTTCCCCTGGCAAACCTTCCAGAAAGAGCCCCAGTATCACCTGATTCACTGCCCTGAAAGATACAGGCATGTGGTAGAATTTTTTTTTCCTTAACATGGATATTTTGTTCTCTAATATCGGCGCTTAGGAAAAATGTGACACTGGAGAATTCTCCTTTTTGTGGGGAGTAGTTGCAATGGTGATTACCTGGATTTAGTGATAATTAAAAACTGTTGGACGACCCATAGAATCTTCAACTCAAGGCCAGTAACTAAAATTTTGAAACAGCAATTCAGCCTTACTATGACTATAGGACATGAGTTCAAGCATCAGAGAGAAAGTTTCATTATCAAAACGAAAGAAACTGTTACAATAAGCATGCTATCTTTAATAATCTAGTCCGATGGGGTTACTTCATAAAGTACAGAAAGGTAACCGTGGTAACCATACAGTAAGGTTGCCATGGTTACTGAGTCAGCACGGGGCCCGGTTCCTCACCTGTGCCAGCCTCTGTTGGCTCTCGGCGTCCCCTGGGGAGACCAGGGCCTGCTTGGCCTCATGAATCAGCATGGCGGAGCCCTCCATTACATCGCGGGCCGAGTCCAACATGGCCGCTGCGGACTGGGGATCCATGGTGGAGGCGGCGACACCGCGGGCGGCTTGGGCCAGCGTCTTCAGGGCCTGAGCGGTCTCCCTGGCTGCCACACCTGGACGGACAGCGGTGGCATGTGTGACATTCAAAGTACACTCCAATGCAGGCTGCGAGTATTACTGGATATATAAATACATACATAAATGTAGAGTATAAATAGCAGTTTCGGCAATAACTGGACCCAGACAATAAAAATGCCTGTCACCCCTTACAAGCTAAGTACCGCTCCGAGGAAATGATTCAGACGATTACTTTGGCCTGAGAAAATGACAGCGGCCATATTTCTGTGAGCTATTATATCAAGACAAACAAATGCTAGACGTACGAGACGTGCTAAATCAAAATAAAAAATCGGCGGCATTCGGGTTTAACCGAGATTTAGGAAGCCGGAACGCAAGTCTGGCGAACGGAAAGGTGGGAGGGAGCTCTGACTGATCCCAGGTCAGCGAGCCGCGGGATCATTCAGGATAACGGGATGGATCACGACGCACAACTGGCGTTGCTGTTCCACAGATATGGAGATTCATGTGGTGGAAAGGTCACTGTGGGATTCAGAGATAGAACCTTCCCCGACCATGTTCACGGTGATGTACAGCGCCCCCCCTGGGCTGCCCACGGTCGCTGCTCTACCTGTGTAGTGCTCGTTGCCCTGGGCGGCACAGGTGAGAAGCTGGGCCATGGAGGAACCCACAGCCTTGGAGGTGCTTCCGAGATCCTGGGCACACTTCTCAAGCTGAGCGAGAAGGACGCCGCCTCGTTAATGCATGTGACACTTAGCAGTCAGTCAGAGGCTTTCAACTCCTCTTAACCCAGTCCCTCCAAATGAAGAGCTCAGAGCAGGGATGGGGGGCATGTTTATTCCCCCTACAAGGGCTCTGTAGACCCCACAGCGGGTGGCAGACCCCCCTGCCTTACACTCAAAATCATTTACAGCCACAGCGACAAAGAATTATTAGACATGGCTGAAATGGGGCCGTTAAATGATTTACATGCTGTAGCGGCTATATGGCTAATTAACTGTCAGGGAGACGCGCGCTGACCGATTCTCCAGGGAGGGGTTTCAGCTCGGCATCCACGGCGGCCATCTTGGCATCCTGGAGCTCGTTTTTCAGGGTCTGAACTGTGGTGAGCGCAGAGTCGATCTCCATGGGCCCGCAGACCTCGTGAGCCTACAGACAGGCACGGAAACACACATCGCACACATCTGACCCTGGAGAGGCGAACGCCGATTCACCGAGCTGTGAACACTGGTGAAAGGGGAATTTCCCACTCATACAAATGCACCTTTCAAAAAAATGGCTGGCCGTTGAACTTCTCATATTTACCAAGATACTAGCATTTCCACGGGTATTCCTGTTATTCTGAAGCCCTGACAGGTACAACATAATGCTGCAGGAAAGAGGCTGCCTTTGCCAGCAGGGGGCGTCGTTACCTTCTGTGTAGCTGTCCGGAGCTCAGCCAAGCTGGTCGCTAGGTTCTTGGCACACTGGCCCAGCTGCATGGCGGCGGCCTGGTCGGCCACCGTGGGGACTGCCGACTTCGCGGATGCAACCATCTTACTCCCAGGCTTCAAGGAGGACAAGAAGAAATGTTTCCAGGGGAGAAGAACTATGCTGTATCTGCATTTTAACACAATTAATCATTCGAGGAATGACTAAGGTCGATTAAGATGCAAGCAATGCAAGTCTGTAATATGCAGTTATTAAGACTACCCACAAGGGGCAGCATAGAGCAGGTACCTGGAGGAAGTTCTGGCTGGCGATGATGAGTGCCAGTTGGGCACTGAGGTCCTCAGGCTGGCCCTGGCTCCCCCGCACGCCTTGGACCAACTGGGGGATGTGGTCGGCCACGGCCTGCGAGCCCCAAAGACGGTTAACATGACCACGTGCGCAGCAAGGGCACACCGGAGACAGCCGCTAGTCCGGGACGAGGGGGAAGCAACACTGTCACTTTAAGAAGCACTACCTTGCAGCTCTGCACCAGCTGCTGGTGGGCGGCCGTGTTCTTGTTGGATGCCGCTGCATTCTGGGAAGCAGCGATGGTCTGCGTGGCTGCGGCGGCCGCCTGCTTAGCTGCGTTCTGTAAAAAACACACGGCGTGCGTTTCATACTGGGATATGGGTGGAGAGCGAGCCCCCCCCCCCATGGCCCAGGGTGTATAAAATACTTGTAATGTGCTGGTCAGTAAAATTAATGCAAGATGGCAACACATTCAGTCGGGATCTCGCTCCCAGAACCAGCAAAAAGCGGGAAGAGGGATTAAAAAGGCAAGTCATCTCAATCTCTGGGTGGGTGGATGGACTGAAGGGGAACAGAAATATCTTTGTCCGATTGAGAGGAGTACAGCGGCGGCGCAGATCTCTGAAGACGAGGGGGAGCCGCCGCCCGCCCCCCCATGTACGCAGCGCGGGCTTCGCTTACACGCATCCCAGACATTCCTCACATACAAGAGGCGATTGAGGCCAGGCCTGGCCGTCACCCTCTCCCATTCCTCCTGTCCTTTATCGACTAAACTTCCACTTACAATTTTGGGCTAGGATTTAGAGGGACGGTCCATGGTTATGGCAGCTTGAGGGGGTGGATTCAGTATCACGGCCTTAAGCCCCTACAAGCCAGCAGCCGTCTACAGATTCATGAGATTTACAGCACAGACCTGCTGAAAGCCACAGCCTCTGTCCAAACAAGGTTCCCTCTTTGGTCTCATTTTTAATTTTGTTCATATTACCGTTATTTTGAAATGATAACCCAGATGTAGGCAGTCTGCAAATTTGAGATGAGTAAGTACTCTGAGTACTGTGAGTACTCTGCCACATGCATGCTGTGATGAGGGCCTTTATGCCCTGCAGTGTGACCCAGGCCTTCACAGTCTGATCTGGTGGTGGGGGGGATGGGGGCCTGGAAGCTCCTTCATTTACATATCAGTTCATCTCTCAGGGCCTCTGCTAACCCTGAATGGCTCATTCGTTCACAGCCACCGTTACACCACATGCTAAACATGACTGATGACTCCAGCTGGAAGGAGAGATGAACCCCTCCCACCCAGACAGACCTGGGGGTCAGTCAGGCCCGTGTGCCTGTGGTTGGAAGGTCACTGGTTCAAATCCTGTGCTCTGCCACATATCTGCTGAGCTCTTGAGCAAGACCCCTAACCCCCAGAAAAATGCTTGGGGGTGTCAGATAAATGGCTGAGCCTGCGCTTGATCCCCAAGCCTCACTGTCACCTCACTGTGCGTGTGTGTGTGTGTGTGTGTGTATGCGTGCATGTGTGTGTGTGTGCGCGCGTGTGTGTATGCGTGTGTGTGTGTGTTTCTTAAACAAGGGTATAACTTTAACTTGAGCTTTGGGAGGATTGAAGTCTCCACCCATTTAAGGGGGTGTATTGGCTGGTTTTGATTATTGAGTGTTAGAACCCCACCCCCCTCCTAATTTACGCCCATGGCCTTAACAAAAGGAGGGCATGATGGGATAGTAACACATTCCAATGTAGCTGCACAAATGGCAAATAAGCCTGTATTTCACACACGCTGTGCGTGCGCGCGCACACACACACACACACGCGCACACACACGCGCACGCACACAC